GCCTTCTCTGTGAGCAGGGATGGATAAATAATGAGGAATTTGTTATTTGCTGGAGAAGTTTCTTTGTCTTCTGCTCCCACATGGTCTCATTTGAAGGGAGTGCATTGATGAAGTGCCTGACCAGTGCTGGGGACACCTCGGTGAAGTCCCTGCACCTCTGCCAGGAGTGTTGGTGGCACCTGCTGCTGCCACTGCCCAGGTGGGCACCTTGTCTGTAAAGCTGGGCAAGCCTCAGCTGTGCTCCTGGCCCGGCAGCCTCCTCTCCCAGACACCACAAGAAGCTGAGACAGRTCMCTGCTGCAGGACAGAGCYGGTGRCAGCCACAGGCAGGGGCTSAGGGGGCWGAAAGAACCAAGTTCCCGTGGGGAAAGAGAATTCCAGCTCCTCAAACTGTACAAAACCCTACAAACCACAGAATCCTCTCGGGCAGCAGAGGAGGACCAGCCATGAAAGCTGGGGAATGTCCCYGTTCTGCTCTGGTTTCTCATCCTGTCCTTCGGGGCAGCTGCTCAGAAGCTGCATGAAGAGCTGGTCACACCTACCCTGCCTGGCTGAGCCCCTGCCATCCCTGTGCTTTGTGCCCCTCGAATTTCCCCGCTTTCCCTTCAGTCTGCCTTGTACCTGGAACAATCCTGCTCAGAACCAACTCAGGATCCACCCGTTCCTGTTCAAGGAGGAGCCCAGCTCCGCAGAAACAATCCCCAAACTCCTGTCAGGAGCTTTTTGTAGCTGCATTAATTTTAGAAGAAAAAATTAGGTCCGAAGTGCTGGGCTCATTTTAATGAAGATTCACGGTCACAATCTAATCCCCTGGCGAGGAAGAATCAGCTTTTGAGCACATCAGACTCATTACAAACTCYTCACAAAGTCATCAGAGGCCGGCAGGAGGGGTGGCAGGAGAAGGGGCTGAAGGGGAGCGGTGCTGGGGAGGAATTTGGATTTCGGGAGTTTCAGAACCTGCACTTCCCGTCCCCGCCTGCAGCCGCGGCGGCTCCGCGCGGAGATGAAAGCAGCCGGCAGAGAAGATAAACAAGAAAACAGCTCTGGAACAGTCGTGCTGCCAAAAACAACCTGGGGAGGGTGGCACGGCAGATAAAAGAGAAAGTGCTGGAGGTTTTGGAGTGACTTGCAGGTGGGGATGAAGCTGGGGAGCGGAGCTGTCTCGCAGTCGCTGTCGCGCAGCTCCCCGGGCACGGCGGGAGTGCAGCACTGGCATTTTCAGCCCCGGTCCCTCCCTTCCACAGACAGCAACGCRGCTCCAAATCCCAGGAAAGTCGCCGGAATCCGATGTTGCTCCTCAGGGAGTCTTTCCTTCTTTTCACATTTGCTTCAGCTTTTTCCCTCCCGTTATTTTGGCTCCAGGCAAGGCGATGGGATTAGCCCGGGGATCCTGGGAAGCTCTGTGCTCGGTGGGTTGATAAATGGAGCAGGAGGAGGCAGAGGCATCTGGGTGGGGTTTCATCATCACCTTGGTGTGATAAAGCCGTGGTGGCATCGCAGGAGCACGTGGAGTCCAAGGCTCAGCCGGTTCTGGAGGCCGGGCAGAGCAAAAGGCAAATCTCAGACCCCAAATGATTTTGGGGGCAGAACAGCTGACACTTCGAGCTGCTCTCCAGGGAGGCAGTGTTTTACTGGGCATTTTCTGTAACGTTCGGCTGAAGGGCAGAGCTGTGCCAGTTGTTTACGGCACCAAAAGGATGGCTCTTTTTCCCAAARGATTCCTTCAACACGCAGCCTTGCCCACCTGGCAGAGGACAGTGGATTTTTGCCCTCCCCTGAGCAGAGGCACTGCAGGACTCTCAGTTCCTTGGTGGGTGTGCAGGGCTCAGCCAGGTGAGGGAAGGACACAGATTGTTCCACCCTGCTGCCTCCCACTCTGCAAAGCCTTGGAGAAACAGGGACAAGGTTTCAAGGGAACCCAGGGCTGAAGATGCTTTCTGTGATGAGGATGTGTGGAAGGCTCCCAGTGCTTGGAGATGGCCTCCCTACATCAGTCAAATCTGCCTCACAGCCTTTGGTGTCAGGGTTTGGAGGTCCCTCATACTGGGACCATTATCGCCAAGGGAGGCCAGAGGAGCTGGGCTCAGGGCATTGGGGTTCAGGAGGGTTCATGCATTAAACCAGCTCAGACTTCCCCTGGGTGGCCACGCTGGMTTTAGGCTGCCTCAGGTTCGAGTTTGTGGTCAGGTACTGCTGAGGCCTGGGGTCCCCATGGCATGGATGAACCAGGGGGACCTGGGCACCTCCTGTAACACCAGAACTGTGGGGGCCATGGAAGGGTAACAGCCCTCCCTTCTATGAGGAATGAGGTGATTTTCGATTTCCCAGGTGTYCCCCAGCACCAAAGCAGCTTTAGAGGGCAGAGCTAAAGCTTTCTTTGCCACCCCCACAGCCTGTGGGGTCTCCTAAGATGACGTGTGGGCATCCAAACCTTGGTAGMTTGTGAGAAAACCACTCACAGGGAGCAGGACATGGGATTTTTAAGGGTGGTTCTCCCTTTCCTCTGCTCTCTTCCTCCTCCATCACATTCCCTCTCTCCTGAAAGCTGCCTGCCTGCAGATCCAGGGTATCCCTTCAGTTCCATCTCCATGTGCTCCTCCTTGCAGGAATTCCTCGCTGTCCTCTATGTGTCCTTACAGCTGGCAGCACCTTGGCTGTCTTCAGGAAATGTTTGTGAAGGCTTTCGTTTCATCTGCAGGGGGGCACGGGGGAAGCACCAGGACTTGGAGGAAATTCTGCCTTGGTGGCCGTGGCTCACAGCAGTGAAAGCTTCTGTGCCTGAAGGAATGTTGCTCCAAGCAAGGTGGCTGTGCCTGGGTCACTGGGCAGCCCAGGGCAGTGCCAGCCCATTCCTGCAGCATCCCAGAGCTCTCCTGGAGGGGGAACAGGTGGAAGAAGAGGGGATGGTATCAGTCTGGGGTGGGGATGCTGTTCTCTCCACCCTGAGCACATCAGGGAGCAGGAGCTGGGACTCAGCTGGGCTTGGTGCACCTTCCAGGCAGGAGCAGCAATCCCTGGGCAGCCTAGGAGGCACAGAGGCATGGCCCTGGATGGGGCTGGCATGTCCCCCTGCAGGGCTGGCATGGCCCTGTGTGGGGCTGGCATGTCCCTAGGTGGGGCTGGCATGTCCCTGGGTGGGGCTGGCATGGCCCTGGGTGGGGCTGGCATGTCCTCGTGTGGGGCTGGCATGTCCTCGTGACGGGCTGCCATGTCCCTGGTGGGGCTGGCATGTCCCTGGGCAGGACTGGCATGTCCTCCTCATGAGGGGCTGCAGGGCCATGGGGACAGCAGGGCCTGGGGGCACCATGGCCTAGCAGCCCTGGGGACAGTGTGGGGACAGTGTGCCCAGCAGCGGGCTGTGCTGCAGCCCTGGGACAGGAACCTCCCRGAGGCACAGCTGGGATTGCTGGGTGTCTGTGTAGGGCCAGGAGCTGGATCTGATGAYCCCTATGGGTCCCTTCCAGCCCAGAATGTTCTGGGATTGTGATTCAGGAGAGGTGAAGGAGATCTGCCCCCGAACTGACTGGGACAGACTGGGAGCTACTGGGACAGTCACCTGCCCTCCATCAGCCCCAGGAACGTGTCCCCAGGGTCCCCAACCCAAACTATTTGTGCATGTGGACAGTTCCTGCTCACGTACATCCCTGGGGATTGTACCTCCCTCACTCCTGCACATGTCCCCGCACCCCTGACACTCCTGGCACACCTTTGGGGTCTCTGCAGCCCTCACACACCCAGAGGGACCACATTCCCCACACACATTGGTCCACAAACTCCTGCACCCTTATGGGAACAATAACCAGTGCACAGAGTTAGGGACCACGCAGACTGCAAACCTACAGCCATCAGACCCCTGTGTGCCCACGGGGGACAGCTGTCCGTGCCCCTCCACACGGATAGATCCAGCCGGACCACATCCCTRCCCATTCCTGCAGGGGCCACATCCCTGGGGACAGCGTCAGGGGCCACTCAGCACATCCCAGCGCATCCCCGCAGGGACCATGTGCCCAGGGACAGGTTCAGGGCCATGTACCAYRTCCACATTCCTGCCGATCCCCRTAGGGACYGYAMYCCCGSGGRTCGGCACAGGAYTCGCACACCACGCACAYCTTTAGGGACACATCCCTGTCCAYCCCTKSCAGGACCACCTCCCCAGRGWCAGGTCCCGTGGGCACTCACCACATCCCGGCACATCCCTGCCAGGACCACATTGCCGGGGACACGCACAAGGTGCGCACCCCACACACACCTACACGGACCCCCCGGCCCGGGACCCTTCCCCCGCGCCCCTCCGGAGCCC